AGATATAAGTTACATAGCTGTAGGAGATATTGCGCACATCTATGTTTACAATGTAAGACATTTCATGGGGTCAATTATGTACTGCCATAGCCCTCACCATGCATCAAAATTTCCAAACCCACCACTGTGTTTGATTTTCTTTTTCACCGCCGACTCTTCATTATATGGCTCATCCACCAACTCTATAATTTTATTCTCCTCCTCTGGTGCCTGCAGCGCTGCAGCCTTCAGATACTTCCCCACCCCAGAGCTAGCCACTTGCACAGGCTTCCCATTTTCTCGTAGCCTCTTCCCAGTCCATGTCGTTTTTTGGTCATCTGTCAGCTCTTTTTTCTTCCGCTCTTCAGCCTTTTCTTCTTCTTCCTTCTCCTTCCTCTGATTCTGGAACTCTTTAAAGGGATCAACAAACACCACAATCTCGTTGATGACGATATCCTTCGTTGGTCGGTCGCTGGAATCAGTTGGTGAGGTTTCTAATCGATCAAGGATCTCCAGTCCGCCTACGACTTTGCCAAAGATTGTATGCTTCCGGTCGAGGTGAGGCACCGCACGGTATGTAATAAAACTATATGTGTTAGCCTCAGTTGTTGGGTATTGTTCCCAGGTATGGTGACTTACAACTGGGATGAATTTGTGTTCTTGCCCTTATTTGCCATAGAGAGCATACCTCTTGTATCATGCTTTAATGGCCCCTCTAGTTCGTCGTTGAAGTTCTTCCCCCAATAGCTGGTGCCACCGCGGCCGGTTCCAGTGGGATCCCCCCCTTGAATCATGAAATTTCGAATATTTCTATGAAAGCTGACCCCATTATAGTAACCCTTCTGTGCCAGCTTTACAAAGTTATAGACTGCCTTTGGTGCAAATTCAGGGCTCAACTCCACATTGAGGTTCCCCAAATTTGTTGCTATCCGTGCATATCCCTTCACTTTCACACGTTTTGGCTTAAGCATATAGTCCTCCTCTGACAAGATTGCCCTCTCAGCTCCTGTATGGGGTGTGAACGAAGTGGATGTAAACGATGCTGCTGCCTTTCCTGTTGTGTGTATGGCGGCATTATATGGGACTGGGGCACTAGCGGTACTGCACACGGCCGAGCCGGTGGATGTGGATGTGGATGTAGACGTGGATGATCGCTTCACAGCTGGGTTAAAATTAGGGTCTGTCGTGCTTGTTTTGGCTGCCCTGGCCTTGGCTACAGCAGCCTTCGCGGCTAATATTTTGGCACTCGACCCAGTAGCTTTCAGGTTGATGTTATTTAGAGGGTCTGCTCTCTCTGCTTCCTCTTCTAATAAAACTGTCAGCCCATGCTTTCGACTCCGAAAGACACCACAAACCTACCCTCTGTCAATGTTGATAATCCCTCTTGTAGGTATCTGAAACTCGACATATCCCTACTTTGTAGACTCTTTGGATCCTGGATAGTGATGATATCCTTCCTCGTAAACTCATCATCTGTCAGTAAGTCTTTCCAGTTCTTTGCCTTAATATTCAACCTCTCAACTGTGTCCCAGGCATAAACATTCCCCGACGTCCTGATCGCCACAAGGTGCGTATTGTCGGTGAAAGCCTTGTATGTAAGTGGGTCCACGTATTCCCCGTCCTCGTTCTTATGCATCTCTAGCTTAAGCAGTTCATTGTACTGCATTCTCTCGCCAGTAACTGGGTTGGTGCCATGCTTCTTCAGCCATGGGATGATGTTGGTGAGGTCGAATATGGTACCATCGGCGGTGCAGACTGGATGCTCGAAAGGTTGAAGGCTAAGTGCGCAGTAATTGAAGGGAAGCCGTTTAAATGTTGCCGTACTTGCCTTTTTCTGAGCGCCCGAAGATGCAGAAAAGGCAGAGCCGTCGGTGCTGGCCCATTCGCTGTGGGTGATCTTCTCATCAGGTGAGTATTCGCACTGTTTCGGGCACTGGTCGGTGGAAGGTGATACCTACGTATAGCTTGTCTGTACCTAATAGAGTGAAAGTATCAGCCAGCAGGTCATGAATGAGGCATTCGGAGGGTACTTACCTTTTCCCATATTTCTTCCGAGTGTATTCTAATTATTTCCCAGGAAATAGTCAAGGATCATCTGTTGTATTATTTATGGAAGAATACCAGGTTGGTGCGCGACAAAAGAAAGGTTACCAGTACCCGGTTAGAGCCGATAAGCGAGAACAAGCCCACATATTTTATAGCATCAGTATAAAGTCTTGAGCTCATTTGAACAGTTATGGCCTCAATAACTACACTCCGTGAGTATATTCATATTCTATATCCCACCTGGTTTCATTCAGTCCCGACTAAGACAAGCTTTGGTGCTCTAGCAAGCGATATCATTATCGATAATATCATTCCCCTCCTATCCGTCAAAGAATTCCTCAACTTGTGTGCAGCTTGCGTAAGTTCCCTCCTCTGTGGAGATTCCCACTTTCTTTGACTGACTGTCACAGAAAGCATTATTATCCTTTGCAGATGACGAGGTCTATTGGCGGAAACTTACCATATCCACCTTCCGTCTCCCTGCCCAGCCTCTGCGAGAAAAAGGATGGCGAGAGCTCTACAAGAATCTCCACAGGGCAATATTATACACATGGGGTTCAAACGAAGAGGGAAGATTAGGTCATCATCCTAGTCATAGGAAGGTACAGTCCCCGTGGGACGTCGATCTCGCAGTAAATCAAGTGGCTGTCGATGTTGTAATGGGGTCAGTAATCTTGACTCCTCGGAGAATATGAAATTAGCTGTGAAAGTTTAGTCTGGCTTGGTGAAAACTAATCTTGTAAGTAGAGGGTGGAGTACCACTGTACTCACTGCATCTGGCTCCCTATATACCTGGGGTGCATTGAGTAGATTCCATGGCTCCTACAGCAGTTACCCGCAAAAATCGACCTCAGGCGAGCGAGCTGCGAAGCTTACGTTCCCAGCAGCTCATTCATCGACCAATATCATCGAAGTCTCTAGTGGCCGATCGCACGTCCTTGGTCTATCAGAAGAAGGCCGTATCTGGTCTTGGACTCAGGACGATCAACCCGGGAGGTTCATCAAATTCATCCACGTAGATACAATAACGTATGGGTCCACTTACTATGGAGCCAGGCGGGCTCGAGGTACTATTGAGAGAGTGGCTGCTGGGTGGAACCATAGTGCAGCCCTTGTCAACGGTGTCGGAATCGTGGTATGGTTCCCGATCCCCCAAGGTACTCCTGGTGAAGAAGGCATCCTCGTCGATGGCGAGCTCGTCCTTGGTACATGTTACATCGAAGGCGCTCTGAAGCCCCCAACCATATCTGACGAAGACTGGGCGTATGCCAAAGAGGTAGGGGAGGTCACTGGCATCATGGCTGGAGATTCATACCTTGTTTTCTTGACCAAGCCTGGCAAGGTGTACGCCGTATGTGCAGAACCTAACATGGTAGCCGGCACGCGGCCAGTTCAACTATGTTATTTCTCTGCACCCACAGGTCGAAAGCCAATGTCTTACATCTCTGGCAGCTTTTGCAAGTTTGCAGTCTTCAATAGCGATGGTCTCGTTTACATCGGTACTAAAGACCAAGTTCAGGAGGCCCTTGTGCAAGGCTCTGAGGTGGAAGTCAAAGGCAAGCCAACCGTCATTCCCAGTCTGCAAAAACGTGGTATTGTAGCTATTGCATTCGGTGACTACCACTCTCTGGCCCTGACAGCCGAAGGAAAGGTACTATCTTGGGGCACAGAGCCGCAAATGTGTGGATGCTTAGGTCACGGCCCAGTAGAAATTGCGAGGAAGAGGGGTGTAAAATTCACCGTTCATGGGCAACTGGATGAACCGACAGAGGTCAGATTCGACTCGCTTGAGACCAGCAACCCCCAGAAACCGAAAGATTACCAATACTTTATTTTCAATATCTCCGCAGCGGGTTGGCACTCTGGTGGGCTTGCCTTGGCTCCAAGCCGGGAATATGGAGACTTTTCAAGGTTTGAGAGACCCTATGGGGCAATACCTATGGAACAGCCCCAACAGCCTCACCTGGGGAGAATTGCCCACGCTAGGGCACCACCGGGGGAGATGGGACATGGCTCAAGGGTGAGGCCGGGTGAGGAGAGTACAGTTCAAAGAGGGCATGCAATTCCGACTTTCATCGGCTCGAACCCTAATCCATTCATTCCTCATAGGGCAATGAGGCCTGCACCGGGGGCGTTTCCGAATCCGACACTGATGACGGGTGGGGCTTTACTGATGGGGCAGGAGGATATGCGGAGGGAGGAAGAGCCAGAGAGGAGGAGGAATCAAGAAAATGGTGGACAAGAGCAGGATGGTGGTAGTGATGACTGGACTGGTGGTTGGTGCTCTGCTTCGTAAATATGGAACTCAACTTGGGTTTGTATTAGGACGATTATTGTTTGGTTTGTTTTGCGTAATTGGGTTTTACGGTTTTAAGCACCACGATAGTCTTATGTAATTATCCATCTCTTTGAACTTGTGGTCTCATGATAACCCTCCATCTAAATCCGCCTTTAGGTGAGGTTTATTCTCACTAAGATTGCGGTTCAACAGTTGGATGGGGACTATCTAGCACTGGCCTTTCCACAATCTTTACCATCACACTTGACGCACTTGTTATAATGTCCCTCATCCACAAGACTTGAAACTCCAGTTTCCAGAAAAACCTTGCAACCTGGGAATTCTTGAATTTCGTTTGTAGGGAAATGGACTTTGTATGATGCTGGATCTCTTTGATTTAAGTGAACAGGCCTCTGAATCCACGCTGTCTGTGCTTCATTTAACTTCGAGTTCCGAGGTCAATCCTGCCTTGACATTCTGCTACCTACCACTGCTACTAGAGACAGCGGACGCCGACTGTAATCCTATAGGGCCAGAATATGTGGATACAAAAGTACATTTTAGAGGGTAATAGTGTTTGCTGTGCACATAGAGATGCATGTGTGATGATGATACGGCGTATAAACTAACCTATATAGAAATAATGACAAGTTTGATTTCAGAATATTTATAAATTTAAAACATTGTTTACTCAAGCGCCCGGTTGGCTCAGTCGGTAGAGCGTGTGACTCTTAATGGTATAAACCTGAGGGATCTCAAGGTCGCGAGTTCGAGCCTCGCATTGGGCTTATTTTTGTGGGGGGGTTTATAATTTTTGTTTTCCGCTGACATAACTTTACTCTATGTAATTATCTGTAAGTTTATATCGCCAAGGGTAACTGTCCTGCGCGGAATTGAGAACGAAGTGTATGTATGTAGTCTAGTATGTATGTAGAGTACTACTTGCTCTACAGGGTATTTCCACGCACAACCAAACAGCAAAGCTATATAAATAAAAGACCAAGCTATATAAATAAAAGACCCTCCCTCTAAAAAAATATTCTTACTACGTTCGTCTCTCTCTTCTTCTCTCTCTCTCTGATACAAAGTATTTATATTTCAACCCTCCCTAAACGTCTCCCTCTTTTGCAACCCCCCTTTGCCAAACTTCACCTCGGCCCTCTTCCTCTCCTCCTTCTGCTTCTTATAACTCCGCTGGTTGAACTTGATCCCGAGCTTCCTGAACAGGGTTTTTCCGAGGAGCCACAGCGCGGTGAAAAATGCGAGGGGGATGGCGATTTTCCAGAAATAGCTATTACACCAAGGCCAGGTTCGTTAGAGTAAAAATCATAGAAATATGGTGGCGGTGTAGGAAGCGGGGCCGTACGCTTCGGAATGGGTTTGCACTGAATCCATTATTTCGAAATTCATACCGAAGTATCCTGTTAGGAAAGTGAGGGGGAGGAAGAGGATTGTTACGAGACTATATTGAGAAAATTTGTTAGATAAATAGGATTGGATTGGGATAAATTAGATTAGTGATGTGAAAATAAATAACCAAAAAAAAACATCCAAAAGGGGCATCAGTGGTCCAGTGGTATGATGAATCGTTGCCATCGATTCGACCGGGGTTCGATTCCCCGCTGATGCATAAGGCAGCATCCTCATTTGGATGCGTCCTTTTTCGTCTTTTTGATATACGTAGGCGGAATTATCAAGTCAAGGGGGTTGAATTTAGGGGACATACGTTAATTTTTTCATACTCTCGTTTTGTAAAGAGCCGATAGTGTTGAAGATTAGATCGATCCTGCCGCCACAATTAGGATTACCCTCAACTTAGACAACCCAGCGGCATCGATAGACAGCTCACATATTATCCGCCCCCCTCTTCATAGTATCCAGCCTCTCCATCATCATCACACAATGATCCTCCACATCCGTCAGGTACGTCTTCCCCATCTCACTAATCTCCACGCCATACAACGCCCCACCCGGCAGCTTCCTATTCGGGTCCAATTTATGACCCTTCAAGGAATTAATTAACCCAACCACCGGCGCAATCGTCTGTTTCAACAAACTCAACTCAGAAGTCAAGATATACAACGCACCAGTATGTTGAATATCCGGGCTCGTAATAACGCTGACCTCAAGATCCGCCATCACATCCTGATACGCATGAATAACTGGAAACGCCAAATCAATGATCGCATCAACGATACCCTGTACGACCATAGACGCATCGCACGAGCTGCGGAGCACGGTATGTTCGCTTCCTAACCGCTCGAGGATAGGTGGCTCGACATCATCCGCCGAGTTTTCAAAGAAACTGATAACCGTGTTACAGCTGGTGAGGAATATCGACACTTGCTCTACACTGACTAGCATCTTCTTCGCGGCAAGGGGGGAGTGTTTCTCCATGAATGCTACTCGCTCGGCGTTTGCGGCTCCACCATAGTAGTGTTGGAGGGATTTGTATTCGCGCTGCAAGGGCTGGTTGGTGCAGCCGTTGGCACTGTCGACGGTGGCAGTGACGGGGAGGATCACAGCGCCTGATTCGGCTTTCTGGTGGCGCCTGAAAATACGTTGGAGGAAGGTGGGCGGCCGGCCGAGGGGTTTTTCGGCGGGGTTGCATTCAGTTGCGTGAACCAGTTTAAGCATGGTAAGATTGACTATAGGAGGGTGTTATTATACAAGAGGACTATGAATGAGTTTCTTGTAAGAAAAGATCTTACTGAATGCATGATCTGAATACCAATCGCACTTTGTCCGGTTCTTCGTGTTGAGTAGATCCTCAAGAGCTATTCGCCGCCGATTGAACCCCCGTTAGCTGCCCATCCCCACCAAACAGATGGTCTATTCATATCCATCTGGAGCCAGCGATGAAGCCTACAAGACGGGCTTCAATTGCACTCACCCAGACTATGCAATTTATATTTTTTCGCCACAGCGCTAATACAATCCCAACTCAATCCATTCAGATTGATCCACCTAACTAAAGACCACTCGGGCCTGTCCTCCTCCAAGAACTCCCTCAAACTGTCATTCTCCAACTCCGTTTGAATAACCTGGTCCTGTGAGAAGTCCACCACGGTAATTCCACAACGGGTATGTAGTTCCACCTTCGAATCCGGGCTCAACCCGGGCTCAGACCCAGGTATCAATGTAACATATTTGGAATTTTTCACTGTATTGGAAGGACCACGCCGGCGCGGGCCCGAGGCGGAGACTGTGCTGAAGCGGCGAGCGGGAATGCCAATGCCAGAGGTTGGTGAGTGTGGGGTGAGAAGAGACTCTACAGCGAAGGGCTTCTGGGCGTGGTCGTCGGGAGTTTTTGGGGGTTGGGGAGGGTCCAACATCGCTGGAGCTTGGTGTTTGTTTGTTTGTTTGTTTGTTTGTTTGTTTGTTTTGTAGTTTCGGACTACCAGGCGGCTCTCGCGACGCCCGAGTGTTTTTATATATATTGCCTTTGAAGGCTTGGACTATAGACTCGGGAAAATGTCGAATCGGATTCCAATCGATGTCCCCTGGCGAACTTGAGCGGCGAGGTGAGGTGGACAACTGTGGAAATATGCAATACAGAGCCGGTCCCGCTAAGTCCCGCCGTTTGATGAGGTCGACCGGGGTTGAGTGAGATTGAACACCAAAACACCTTGTTCTCACAAATACAAAACATCTCTTCAATCGACAGATGCCTGGCCGGTGCACGAGAACAATTGAGGGCTGCAGCTGCTCAGCTGCTTGAGGAGCATAAAGGCACTTCAGAACCTCCCTATTCCTCAGCCCACCAAATCCCAGCGATGCTTTTGGCCTCTGACGGCGAGAATGTATAATAATCACGTATGATGATATTCATGATATTCATCAGATTCTTCACACATATCACGAGATCACACAATGCCATGGCAAGCGGATTCTCGCCCTTCTAGCAGTAAGCACTACCACAGATCCAATGACGCGACCCATAACGCGACCCATAACACGACCAATGACGCTGCAGCGCTGATACTGAGGTCATAGCCTATATCTTGTTTTCTGGGTCATAAAGGCCCTTGTGGGTGTGGACAGGGAGTGGATACATACATATCCGTATATGGGGGAAGAAGCAATATTTGTAATAAACACAGCAGGCCCAACTCGGATTTGCTGCTACTTCTTTGTACCCCCTTCCGATAGTATCAGCCTAGCAAGCGAGCGTTACGTATCTATTTCAATCTCCCTCAGCACAGAGAGTAGAGCTACGATCACAAAACACAATGGAGACGATCCACAATGTCATCAACGCAGCGGCACGCAGCATCTACGGCTCAGAGGGCTCTCACGAAGAAGCAGAGCCAAAAACACTGTATAGACCCACTGAGCATCAAATCCGTGATGAGGCCAATGGCACTACGCCTGCGGCCGAGAACCAGGTGCCAACACTGGGCCCCAGTCAAGCGGTATACTTGAACAAGCCCATCGTAACCACCACAAATGAAACCTCGAAGCTCACGAGCGAGTCCCCGGGCTTTCGGAACTTATCGCTAAGAAGCGGCGCTGGTGAGATTCCCGGGGTCGAGGCTGGTTCTGGTGTCTACCATAGACCTGGACATGAGAGTGGGGCCGATGATGATGTCCAGCGGACGGCCAGAGAAATTGATGACGAGAGTCTCACGACAGAAGGGCACCCTCGTCCTGTGTTTGTTGGGCACGAAGCGAGTGGAGATGATATTTGCCGTGCTGATGGTAGAGATAGAGTCCAATTTGACGATTCCATAGGATCAACGGGAAGTCTAAAGCCAAGTGGAGGGCCTGACCCAGAGAGACCCAGGCAAGGCAGTGCTGGGGTAATTCCACACATGGATCTTGGAAGGCAAGGGAGTGTGCCCCTTGGAGCGAGGATTGGGACTGTCCAGGGTGGGACGGTGAAGGACCTCCAACAAGAGCTGGAAGCTGCGCAGACGGCACAGAGTGGTGGTTTGGGTGGAATACCGGTGGTCTTCGGTACTGGAGGTTACGATCCCACAAGTACAATGCAAGTACAAAAGGAAGGATACCACTCACTGAGCAACCCTAATGCTAGAAGATCCATGGGGGATAGTAATCATCGGCAAGCGAAAAGCGTTTCTGAAAAAGCACAAGTGGAGCACAGAGACTTAGGAAAAAGTCCTCAGGAAGACCGTGACCCGCAGCGACAACCCGGGAAGGAGAAATCCATCTCCCAGAGCTCGCAGAAAAGGGATGAATCTCATGACGTTGAGCAAAAATCCCATTCGACTCTTCAAACTTCGCCAACTCCTACTACCGCCACTAGCACCCAATGTTCAACGGGATATCCTTCCTCGCCTACTGATCCTCATCAAGATGGTACCATGAATGTAGCTACCACAAACGATATCTCTCCCAAGGGGCCGGGTTTGAGCAAAGACACCCACAGTCCCGCAGATCCCAGCGCAGGTACAGTTCCCGCGCACGTGCAGCAGGAAACACAAAAACACCGGGATAGAGACCACCCTACCGAAGAGCCCAAGGGGAACGTCCCGCAACCCGGGCAAGGAAGACGTGGCAGTCAAGGGATTCGGAAATGGGGAGAGAAAGAAGAAGCTGGCCATCTATGGATAAAATCCACCGGGACAGCCGCCTATGGTGGTGATTTTGATGCATCAAAGCCAGGGGCAGGGAAAGAGGCGGACAGGTTACTTGAGGGAGCTGGTGTGCATAGATCGGTAGATTCAAAACAGAAGAAAGGAGCTGAGGGGAATACAAGGAAGGGCGTGAAGGGGAACCATCATGACCATCATGATACTACTACGACTAGTGGAAAACCGGCTGA